ATCTATTATAGGGATTGTGAGAACTATTATAGGGATTGTGCGAACATGGAGTTGAAGCGATGCTGTTTTTCCTTAAAACCAACGTAATTGTATAATATTTAGGATATGTATCTCTGAATTTGCAGATGCTTTTTGTGTATTTTGTAAGTATATCAAAATTTCATTATTTTATTATAATAACACGTGATGTTTCTAGTTGTTCATTCGTTTTGCAGATTTTCAGACATATTTCTATGTGATGGAGCTCCCCTATACTTTATGGAGACGGAGGAGGGAAGAACCATATGGTTTGCTAAAGTTCAAACCTAAAGTTTTTACAAAATTTTCTATTTTCTGTTTCATATTCTACAATTTATTGTCTTTTTTATTCAAAATTTGTATCTGATCAAATTCAATTTACAGACACAAACGAACCCACACTGGATTTCTACTATTTTGAGAATACTTTTGAGAAAAAGTTTGATAAGTTCGAATTCAACAAATTTGTGGACACACATGCAAAGGAGGCTGCTTTATGAGTTTCTCCTTGTATTGTTAGCCTCATTTCTTATTCTGGTATATAACTCCTATCTCCTTATCACCTTTACTCTTCTTTAATTCCAAGTATTAGTTTGACATCCATGCTAACTAGATTTATTTATAAATAAATGGATTTGAAAAATAAAATATATTTGTAATGTTTTACATGTATTGTATTACACTACATGCCAAGAATAGTACTTGTACATTGTTAAAAATGTACTCCATATTGCATAGTTTTAACATATATTCGTAGGTACTTATTTACCATCCATAGTTTATATGCTAAAGATTTTTTCTTCTTATTTAGTTCTAACCTATGTAGAGACACACATGTGAGAAAAGTTAATAAATAATAGGCAAAAAAACTTGCGGCCTATTTTAGTTACTAAATGAGTAAACTTTAAACCTACTTTCAAACTTTAATAAAATGTAATTTTCAATCCAATTTTTTTATGTCTATATAACTAATAAATTGTTTTGATAAGTTCAATTGAAACCCATTACCCATATGATATATATAAAATGGAAAAAATAGGGTTGTGTTTTTATTATTTATTTTTGTCCCTCATTAGTATTAAAAAGTTAACTGATCAAAATGTGTAATAATGGGATCAATTTAGTGTCAGGACATTTATAATGAAGGGAAAATATTCGTCTCTATTAAAAAAAATGCCGTAAAATGAAAAATGATTGCCAGCACTGCTGATTCCAAAACGTCCTATTGTCGGAATCATTAACATGCATTAACTTCTATTCTCCATCATGTACAAAAGCTTATTAAATTGGTCTCACCGTACGGCTTTTCTATTCCAGCTACCACCATATATTCTTGCATTTTCGGTCACTTTTGCGAACTACCTCTAAAATTGAGTGTACCCCTTCGTTCTCTTATTGTTGCGCCTCTTTAAATCCCACCCCCTTTTGTACATTTTCATTATGTCTTGAATTATTTTTAGCACATTTGTGAGCATTCTCAGGCTAGAGTTTGCAATACATAAAATTCATATATTTAGGTTGCATTTTATTAAAAAAAATAGTTAAGGTTGCAAAAGAAATGCATGTATTGTACAGGTTGGTTGGAACATATTATTTTCCTACTATAAAATAAGGGAATAAAAAAGTTATTGTATAAATAATCATATATTAAGTTTAATATTTTAAAGTAAATAAGAATTATTCGATAATATAGAAAATAGTTGGCATATTAAACAAAATCTATAACATATAAAGTAAAATATTTAAAAGTTATCCAACTAGTAATACTAGTCAAATTAAACCAAAAAAAAAGTGGTAATGTGAAGGTAACATCTTATTTGAGGGTGTAATACCTTTTCAAGTAAGGGTGTAATGCCTTTTCAAGAGAAGCAAGATGTGACGTGAATTGTTTTTGGGAAGAATACACAACTAAGTTTAGAACGTTGATTCATTGGTATTTTTTAGTGGAAATAATTAGAAAATTAGTTGCTCATGTGTACAACTCGTTTGCGACTTAATATTCTTAAATAGTGTCAAGAGTTTGTAATAAGATCGGAAATCACGTCACTAGTAAATGCAAAAAATTGAGTATTGAGTTTTTTTGAGGCCTAAACCCCCTTGCCGTTTTTTAGGATATATTTACTTTGTTTTAGGGAGGAGTATAACAGGGCCCGACTTAGCAAACAAAAATATTGCAAACTAGAGAAGTAAATATTTCTTAAGAAGGTATTACTATCTAATTTAATAAAGACAATTGAAATATATAATAAATATAATATCATGCTGTAGATTCCATTTTCCCTTCATTTTCTCCCGTGATTTCGTTTTCCTGCCAAATGTACTACAATTGAAAAATTCATTTCATAATAGTTTATGAGATTAATTCTCTTTGATATATACATGGGAAACATATGCACTCTTTCTTTTTTATCTAAATTTTCAGGAGAGGAGAAATTTTTCTGGGCTTCTGGGGTTATTGTTGAGTGTGACAGCGTAAACGGTTTTTTCGAATGTTCTATATTGACTTCTGCAAGTCTTCTCAGGCTTAATGCATACGATAAGACTCTTGCTAAGAACTTGAAGGTTTGTACAACTTTTGGTTATTCATTGTGTTTGGAACATACACTTTTCTTATCTAATTCAAACTTACAATTAAATTTACTTATGCAGGTAGAGGTAATTCTACCGGGTGGTAGTTCATGTCTAGGTTGTGTAATTAGTGTTGATTGGCATTTCAATATTTCTGCCATAAAAATCCAATCACCGACCCCTTTGCCAACAGCCAAACTGAGGTGTTTGGATGATGCTATTCAAACTCATGATTTAAGCAGACCTCAACTCCAGCGGCATTCCAGTTTATTTAAGTTACTTCCCAGGGATGATTTTATCGCTTTAGGCCGTTATCATTCTGAACCATACGACCTTATGGTTGCTCCTGGTAAATTTAGGTAAAAAAGATAATTATTATTTGAGATTGTCAAAAGGAAGCCCTCTATATGATGATAATAGTGAAGAAAACATATGTTTGTTTGGTTAGAAATGAAATTGTTTTCTTGGCCTCACTTAGCTCAGTAATTTTTTATCATCCTTTTTTAAACTTCTGCATTCAGACTAGTGAAACCCTAAAGTGAGCTTGTGGACTATTAGCACTGGTATCCCGTCTACATACCATATGATGATGTATTGTTGGATATTATTATTTTCAGTGATTTACGATCCCTTTGTTTTCTGAGAATGCTTTGGTATTGGTCTACTATCTAATTTTGTTGTCTACATTTTTAGTATCGACCGTTGCGAATTAGATTGCAAAGAGCTTCTCAGAGTGAACTGCATGATTACAAAAGTAATTTCTGTTCCTTTTCTTTAACGTGGATTTTGCATACTTAAAATGCTTTTAATGGCTAGTTCTCTTCAATAGTGTGGAATAGGGGGCGCAATGATCAACCTTTATGGTGAGGTGGTTGGGATCAATTTTTACGCTAAAGAATTTACTCCTTTTCTACCAATGAATGTCGTCTGCAAGTGGTGGGGCCATGTTAAATCCGGCAGGTGTGTTCCAAAATCTTGTGTATATAGTGTTGCTACTACAAATCAATAAATTTGTAAAAAGCAAATCTCTTCATTCCTTTCACTCTCTATGAGATTGTACCCTAAACATTTGATTTTCTTGTTAAGAGTTTTTGTTAAAATTTAGAAGTAATATTGTTATATAGATGAACTATATTGGTATTATGCATTTTAAGCTTATCAGTTGGTTCATTATTTCATACCTTATTTCGAAGGCCCAACTTCTACATTTACTGTCCTTTTCAATTTATATTGTTTAGTTCTGCATTCGGGCATTGGTTATTTTCTCATCCAACTGTTATTTGGAAATACTTGAAGGCTTCACAATTACTTTCATTGTGAAGTTATTTCGAATAGTTTTTAATTAATTATTTGTGTGCCTCATCGAACTTCCAACATAAGGCGTAAGATCACACTCTTCGATGCTGAAATTTCTTTTTTTTTTTTTCTTCTTTTTCGAAGCTTTCAATGTTCCATCGTCCTTTCAAGTTAGCTTTACTGATGTCAGTTTATTGTTGTTGAACCAAGTGTGATGATGAGTTTCTTTGTGTCAAATTCTGCATAATGTACTCACTTTGCAAGGTTTCTGGCAATTTGATACCAAGGTAGTTGATCTTAGGTGATGTAATTAAGCAGAAGTAGATTGAGGCTTGACGTGCATTTATTGTCAATTTGGTAGCAGATCATTTTAACCTATTACATTGTGGTGCAGTTGAGCTTAAGAACATACTTTATCTATGTAACTGGTAGTAATGTTTTTATATATAGACATGCTATTTGAATGAGGGTTTATCCATTGGTTGCGTTTTTAAGTGAACTTGGTGTTAGCGAAGAAGTGACATGCATAGAGAATATGTTGACATGTGCAATAATGAATTGGCGTAGGAAATATAGCCGAGCATGGCTAGGGATGAAAGTAATTAGACTTTTCGCCGCTGAGATGAATGAACTAAGGAAGGTTTTGGTGAAATTTCCAAACATCTCTGAAGGCATCTTTGTTGAAGAGGTATGTTCTCCAGAAGTGTCTGTTCTCTCTTAAAAACTTAAAAACTGATCTCATGCTAGTAGTTGGCTTGGCCTTTGTATTTTTGGGCATACAATTGTCAGTTTCATCATAAGTACTGCTGATGTCAGAGTAAATAATATTTAATGAATTGACAATTAGGTTACTTCAACATCACCCGCTGCACTTGCTGGTGTACGCCCCAATGACGTGATAGTTCAATTTGGTGGACAAAATGTTAAAAGTTGCTTGGAGGTATATTATTTCTTGTAGTTGTGTGTGCATGTATTGGTAGATAGGGTTTATTGAACCTTAATAGTAAATAGCGCTTTTTTTAATATCTATTTAATTTTTTTTCTTTTTCTATGTTTTGGGTATTTTTTTCCCCTGGATCCAGTTATTTGGAATAACCTGGGATAAAGTTGGGGAAAAAATGTCTGTGAGTGTACTGCGAGCAAGCACTGGTGCTCGTGAGGATGTATTTATGGTTGTTGGCAATGCTAAAAACCGTCGATGGAATAGGTAAAACCCCTTCCGCTTTTAATTGACAGACCAATCAATAGGGATGTATTTATGGAGCATCTGTTCTCTATTTTTTTTTATTTTTTTTTTCTTATTGAGTTTTTCTGTATAGATGGCTACTTCCACCAGTAAACTGGTGGCGGGGTTACCCAAATGATATGAGGTCAGATATAATTGACAAAACTAATGTTTGGAGGCTGGAATTCAGGCCTAGTTACTGGCTCGGTATTTTTCACTTTCTTCTCTATCTACACCCTAGTTCACACTTACTATTATGATTGTGCAGTCACAGATAGCCTCTTTCTACTTTATTTCATCTTATGTAACCTTATATTTATTTTTTAGATGAAAATCTAGAGTATGATCTAATGGAGGATTCTTTCAAGTCGAGGTTTTATTCATTATATTGGAACCGAGATTTGGATATTTATGTTAAGAGAATAGGCAATAAAGCTGCTCCATCAGTTGTCTCCGTAAAAGTTTCTTCAGGTAATCACCAGACACTGATGTAGTTTCTTTACTTACTCTTATGATTTTGATTCAGATAGACTATACAACGTTCTGAGCTGCTAATTTAATTTGCTTGTCTAGGTGGAAAGAAGATATTTGGCTCTGGCTTTGTCATCGAATGTGACACTGTCATAACATCTGCCAGTCTCTTAAATTTTCTGGACACTCAATTAAGTGATCTAAAGGTTTGTCAACCTAAAAGTACATGTTGGAAGCAGATCTTAAGTTATGTAAAATTGTATGCTGGAATTTCGTTTTATGTTTTTTTTCCCCCTCTAATACGTCTAGTCTTCAGCTTTTAAGATTTTTTTGGTTTAAATTTTATTGGTGTTTTTCCTTTTTAGTTCCTTAAGGTTCGTGCTTCAGTTTTTTATTTTTTTTTTGGGGTTCTTTTTTCCATGTTTTATTATCTACTTAAGTTTCTTTTTTTTTTCTTAATTTTTTTTTTTTTTACCACAACCAGTTGGGAATATACTGGGTATGGTGATGATAATATGAATTATTTTTTTGGGAGTTTCCTTTGTTTTAGTTTTTTCTTTTTTCTCTTTATTATTTTTCATCTTAAGGTTTAGTCTTATTTGTCTTAGTGTCCTGTCTCCTCAATACTTTAGGTTTCTGTGGGTTTATGTGATGGCGAAAAATGCGATGGAGTGATTGTGGCCTGTGATTTTCACTATAACCTTGCTGCCATAAAAATTCAAGCGGACAAGCGATTGCAAATTGCGCGGTTAAAGCATCTGGATGATTCGATCTGCATTGATCCAACCAACTTGTCGATTGGCAAACTGTATGAGATGCATTCTGATCTATTTAGAATTTTTCCTGGGGAAAGAGTTATAGCACTTGGACGCTTTCACTGTGATGTTGGTGATATTATGGTCTCACCGGGTGAATTCAGGTAAGAAATCAAATCTATAGCTCACACTGATTATTTTCCCCGTCTTTAAAAGGAAAGACTGAAATTTCTTTCTATCATTCGAATAAATATTTGGTTTGTTGTCTATTGTTGAATGTAAATATTTTTATGTTTTGGGTTTAAATAGTTACATTTTTGGAAACGAACTCCGTTATGAGTAAAGGATCATCAAGTAAAAAGAAATAAGTAATTTTATTGATGATAATATAATAGGATGAACAAGAAGTATGAAACTTCTCTCTGCTGCCCTGCAAGAAATTTGCCCAATAGCCTATGCTTTTACAAAATAAAAATCTTCATTCTATCCTCTTGACAACCATGTCTTATATACTAAACTATAATGAGTATAAAATGGTAATAAGAAATATGAGGGGTAAGAAAATAATAACATGCAAGGAAAATCAACATAAGCTATTCTAAGATTGATATCATGCCATTCTTGCTTCTCTATAGATGAAAATTTATCAAATTGATTTAATAAGATGCTTTCGTGATTGCAACAAGTTATATTTCCTTTGTAGTGTTGAACAATGCAGACTCGACTGTAAAGAGCTGTTGAGATCAACTGGCAGAATTACTCAAGTAAGAATCATTTTTCTTCACATCCCCTCTGTTTGATATTCACACACATATGCAGCTTAGAAATAATTGAAGAGATGTTGGAGTAAAGAAGACTCAAGATGTTTATCCTTGCCGATCTTTGGGTGATATATATACAAGGAATTGGTTAGAATGGGAACCATTTCTTTACGCGAAAATATAAAACTAAACTGTGGCCATTCACTGAATTTAGATGTAATAGATTGACAAATAAATGTACACATTGTGTATATATCCTTTGACTTGTGCGTTAATAGACTGTAAATATGCGTCCATGGACTTCTGAATGTGCATTAATGGATATCTAATTATGTACTATTGTACTTCTAAATCTGAAATTGTCTACCAATTTGTAAATTAATATTCAAAATAATTATATTTTAAGTGAACAATTATAATATTTTATATATCGAATTGGTACGAATTCTATTCCTTAGGTTGTAAGGTATGATATTATGATGGATTTAGAAGGATATCAATGTATCCATTTCTCTAACCAAGTTGGCTCCAATTTTAAATCCATTGGATCCAACTTGATAGAGGGTTGTGATTTGTTCTTGGGTGAACATTTTAAGAATGGTTCTCATTGGATCCACTCCACACACACACACACACACACACACACACACACACACATATTGATTTGATCACATCCAGGTGCATATTCCCTTGTAAGACTTGTTTTGGTTTTTATGTTCAATGATATTTTCTAATTTTTTGGTTCTTCATTCACGTGATAGTGTGGCATTGGGGGCCCAATGATCAACCGGAATGCAGAGGTGATCGGAGTCAACTTCTTTCATTTCGATTTCACTCCTTTTCTACCTATCAACATAGTTTCCAAATGGTGGAGTCATTATACGAAATATAAGTAAGTTACATACTTCTTTCGAATTTAAAAAACATTGATCCAGTCGAGAATATCCATAATTTGTTAGGCACAAGGTTGATGGTTTAGTTAGTGACCAATTTTCTACTAGATATTGATCGAAGTTCTAATTTCATCCCACACTGCAATAGTCGATTATTCATAAATCATTCTTTCATTTTGTTTTAGATATCTCATGTGTTGTAGATACTTCTATTAAATACTAAATAGAGCTTTGGTGTAGGAACTATTGTCGACCTTGGCTTGGGATGGAATTGAGTAATCTCTTCACTGTTGAAGTACGTACCTGGGAGAAGATCATACAAAAGTTTCCGAGTATAAAAATGGGCGTTCTAGTTGATGAGGTAGGAACTATTTTTGTAGTTAATTTTTTTATGAGCCGAGCTTGTTCTTTCAGTGCACAAATTATTAATCCCTAAATTTGAAAAAGAGAACATCTTTCTTGGACATGGAAACAAAATTCAGTAACTTCTAAAACTTAAATGTTAATGTTGCACATAAAAGCTCAAAACTGCATAAATATTTCGCTTGTCAAATCAATTGTAATTTATCACATGAAAATTGTGTCTCTTTTGTCATTGAATGTCCAGGTTGCTCCGAATTCCCCAGCTGGTTCTGTAAGCGTGCAACCAAATGATGTTATAGTTGAATGTGATGGAGTTGCTGTTACTAGTAACTTACAGGTATATATTGCTGTTAATAATTTTCTTTTCTGTTTGTTTATTATTTTGTCTTAGAAAATATTGACAACATATATATTCTTCCCAGTTCTTTGATCTAATATGGGACAAGCCTGGAAATATGGTGAAATTGGGTTTAGCAAGGACAAGTGATGGTTCTCGTGAAAATCTATCTGTGATGGTTGCTGATGCCGGTCCGACTCAGTTCAATCGGTAATGCTTGTTTGACTAGTGTTATCGTTTAGAAAGTAAAAACAATTTACTGTTTTGGATGTTGATTTTGATTGTTTTTTATTGAAATTTTTGCAGTTGGCCCGTCTTTGGACATACTAAGGGGTATTTGTAGAGCGGGAGCTGCAATTTAGGTCTATTACTTTCAAGGAATAGATTGCACAGTTTCAAATTTTCACGAACAATCAATGAAGCTTGTTGTCGATTAACTTAACGTCCGAATTTAGGTCTATTACTTTCAAGGAGTAGATTGCACAGTTTCAGTTTTTCACGAACAATCAATGAAGCTTGTTGTCGATTAACTTAACCTCCGAAAGAGTTTTGAAACTAGAAAGCTCTATTTATAAAACTAGAGAGCTCTATTTATATTAATACTAGTAAAGTGTACGTGCATGGCACGTGATCATGATTTATATTTTTATGTGATTTTTAAATTATATAGTTTATTTTATATTTTTCATGGTCTATTCTTTTTTTTTGCATTATTATTTTCAATTGATCAAATAAATTAGTATATTACATAATGAATTGTTTCAACTAGTGTTTTAAAACGCGCATGGTGCATCGCGTGGCGTTCGATCTTGATATTGTGTAGCGTAAATAACGTCGCGCATTGCTTAAGCTATTCGAGCAGTTCATTCTAAATACCAAAAATATAATACATATAACCATGCAAGTAAATAAATAATTAAAATAATCTCAAACCATAAACTTTGACATTAAATCTGGAAAGCAACATTCAAATATTAGTTCATACAAACAACTCAAGTCATCTTCTTCAAAGTAAAGACTCAAAATATAAAAATTGGTCTCATCTAATTGAATTTGGATATCATCATCAATACTATCAAAGTGTGGGTGATTTCCATTATCAAAGGTCATTGGTCTAGTTTCACCAAATTCTTGCATCTCCTCATCATCATGAATGCCAATAGGATCCTTGTTTCCACCTGTTACATACAAGTAGAATTTAAGAACTAAAAATTTTTTCCTAAAAAAAAAGAGGGAATACTTACTTGAGCTTTCACCGACTTTTTTCTTCTTTATAATTGGAGAATGATTTTGAACTTCATTATCAACCTCAATTTCGACTAGCTTATCTGAATCGAAAAGGCTATCAAAAATTTTCGATGGCATACTAACAATAGGATCCCCTTCAAACAACGCATCATCAACAAGCCAGGTAGTATTATTCGGGAGGGCGGGATCTCAACTCTATTATCCACTCATCATCTGAATCAATTTTCATCAACTATATTGGATCCATCTTGTCTCTCATTCTAATACTTCTCTCCCTTAATCTATAGTTGTACTTCATAAAGACCAAACAAAACATTCAATCTTGAATGTTCAAGTCTATTCCTCTTCGTCGTATGTATCTAAGAAAACATAAAAGAAAAGACTTTTAGTAAATGTACTACATAAGAAAATATATTATTTAAGAAGTTTATTAAAAAAATATTTCCGACTCAAATGTGCTCCAATTTCTTTCACATCTCGAAGCGCTACAAGTAAGACTAAAAACTTGTATAGCAAAGCTCATAAGATCGGGTGTTATTCTTCCAAATCGTTCCCACCATTTTGCTAAAATAATGATAAAAAAATTAAATAACTATTTAAAGTCGTAAAAATGCATGGAAAAAATAAACTATAATTATAAATATTATACTTGGAGAACGCAACATTCTAGACTTCTTAGTCATTGGACTTTCAAATTCTCCTTGTGCATTGTCATAAAAATCCTATTGAATATCGGATGAAGATGATCACCGGGCGATAACATTCGGTCCATGCACGCATACAATCCATCTTTAAATTCTGAAGTATTGCAAAAGTAATCTTCATAATACAATTGAGGGTTCAAATAATATCCGGCCGCATGTAGGGGATGGTGAAGTTGTGAGCCCATCTATCATCAAATTTTCTCCAAATTGGCATATATTTTTTTTTAATCCCCCCACAATTAAATTTAATGGTCTCCTTTGCCCTTCTCATAAGCTCATAAATATATCTCATGGCCGGCCTCTCTTCAGAATCAACTTCCCTTAAAACGCTATCACGAGGCCTTTTTTGTTTGTACATGCTTTGAAGGGTTAAGAAAGCGGTGGCAAAGCGAGTTACCACGGGATGAAGAAGCTCTTTCTCGTTTGTATGCTTTCTCATCAAATAAAGGATAGTGTCATCACCATAAATAAACGTCACAACTCTTTTAGCCTTTTCAATCGCATCTGAAAATATACTCAAGTTGGCAATTGATTCCAACATGAGATCAATGCAATGTGTCGCACAAGGTGTCCACCATAAAGATTTTTGTGTCGTCATCAACTTTTTCCCCGCCTTTACACAACTACTAGCATTATCAGTGATAACTTGGATAACATTATCCTCCCCTATCTCATTCACAGTGTCATCAAGATAGTTTTAAATCAATTCACCATTTTTGATAAAGTCATAAACATCAACGGATTTCAGAAAAAAAAGTGTCGACATGGCTATTCACGAGAAAATTTAGTAAAGCTATGTTCTTCCCATCCGTCCACCCATTGGACATTATAGTGCATCCATATGTTTTCCAAATTTTT